GCGGCGGGAATCACGGTCGAGGCCGCGGAGGGCGAGGGCGCTGTGGGCCAGCAGGCCGCGCGCTGGCAATCGCGCCCTCGCCCCCCCCGCCCAGGCACGCAGAGGAAAGGGCGCGGATGCCGCCGCTCGTTCTGGAGGCTCTTCGCCGTCACGGCTGCGTTCGCTTCGGAATTCTGGCCGGAAAGCACCCCGAGAGGCCACGGAAGGCGAGGGCGCCGTGGGCCGGCAGGCAGCGTGCCAGCGTCTGCGCCCTCGGCCGTCTCCCCGCGTGGGCCGGGTTCGAGGCTAAAGCCTCGAGACTCGAGGTTTTGGAACGTTTTCGTCGGTTCTCGGCGGCTTTCCAGCCTCGGGGTGGCTTCCAGCAGCGCCTCACCGAAAGGCGTCCGGGGGTGCCCAGATCGTTCCGAACGGCCGCCGGAAATCCGAGTTTTGACCCGAAAGCTGAAAACCGCAGGATCCTTGGCGCATCTTTGGCTTACTCTGGTCCTCCTCGTCCTCTTCCTCCTCCTCCTCCTCCTCCTCCTCCTCCTCCTCCTCCTCCTCGCCCTTCTTCCCCCCCTTGGATCATTCACCTTTCGGGCCAGAGCTCGGGTCTCCGGCGACCATTCGCCACGACCTGGGCACCCCCCAGAACGCCGAGGCAGTTTCTGAAACGCGCCCCGACGCTAGAAAGCAACCGAGCATTTACGAACACGCTCCAAAATCATGAACCTCCTCCCTCCTCGTCCTCCTCCTCCTACTCCTCCTCCTCCTTCTCCTCTCCTCATTCTCCTCCTCCTTCTCCTCCTCCTCCTCCTCCTTCTCTTCCTTCTCCTCCTCCTCCTCTTCCTCCTCCTCCTCCTCCTCTTCCTCCTCCTCCCCGACCACCACGCGGGACAGCTCGCACCTCGCAGCTCCTCCTCTCCTCCCCTCCCCGCCTCCTCTTCCTCTTCCCCCCCCCTCCTCCTCCCCCCCTCCTCGGCTGCCCCCCCCTCCCTCGCTGCGCGTCGCGCCGCAGGCCACGGCGCCCGTCGCGCCCTCCAGGGCGCCGTCCGCGCCGTCGGACTCCAGCGCCAACGGGGCGGCCGACAGGAAAGCGGCGGGCGGAGGCCGCCCCCCCCCCCCCCCCCCCCGATTGCTGCCACTGCAGCTGCTACTCCACCCTCCGTCCCTCCCTCCTCGTTTCCCTTTTCCTCTTCCTCCTCCCTCTCCTCTTTTTCTGATTATGTTTCTTCTAGTTGTTATTATTCGTATTATTATTATTATGTTTCTTCTCCCCCTCCTCCTTCTCCTTCTCCTGTCTTGTTCGTACGGGTGAAAACAAAGAAATTCCGGATCTACTCCCGTGTGTATGCTTGTCGAGAGAGAGAGAGAGAGAGAAAGAGAGAGATGGAGAGAGGGAGAGAGAGCGAGCGGAAAACAAACACACACACACACACACACACACACACATTCACACACACACACACACACAACAAGCGTATATCATATACAGAAGTGGCAGCACATAGCAGCGAAGAATATAAGTAGAGACCAAGGGGAGCACATACCACAAGGACTTGACACACTCCATGGCGTACAAGCACCTGGGCGGATCGTTGTAAGACCCACGTGTTCGGTGCTCTTCCCTGATGCCATGCGCTCCGGTATCCACTAGCAGGGTGCTCTGCCCGTGTGCATCACAACCGTGCAGTGCGGCGCCGCGCAGCGGCAGCGGCTTTGACGTGTCAAGGGCGCGTCGAGAGGCCGTGTCGGTGGTCGCGCCTGGGACTCGTCCGGCAGCGTGCCGCGGGGCGTCTTTGGGGGGCGCGTCGGGGGGAGGCACTGCGGAGCACGCCAGGCAAAGCGGCGTCCGTGGACGTGCCCAGAGGCGCTTCGGTGGACGCCCCCTGCAGGGGACGCGCCAGGGGGCGCGTCCACGGGCGGAGCCCGGGGGGCGCGCCCGTGGACGCGGCCAGGAGCGCGGGGCGCCCGAGTGGGCAGAGCCGGACTTCCCGGGGGAGCCCTGACTCCGGATCCGCCCTTCTTTGGCGAAATTCGTAAGTAGGGCTTGGAACTTCCGCCTTCCTTTTCGAGCCCCGCTGATGCCAATTTCCGGCCCTAGTTCTCGGTTGCTGTTTCCGCCCCACTTCCGTGGGTTTCCGCCCTGTTCTATGTTGGGTGCAGAAATATCCGCCCTACTTTTTCGGCCTCTTATAGGTGGATTTCCAACGCAAAGTAGGGCGGATCTGGAGTCAGGGAGGGGCTGTGTCTGCATATGGACTTCCGGGGGAGGGGCAGAGCCGGACTTCCGGGGGAGGGGGGCGAGCAGAGACGGCGGTGAATGCAGTTGGCCTTCGGGTGGCCTCCTCGTCGCCACGGCTGGACGCAGCTCGGAGAGCTACCGCGCTTGGGCCCCAGGGGGGGTCCGGGGACCGGTTTTGAGCTGCCGTTGTCTCAACTCGCCCTGCTCCGCTTGGGCGAGGGGCGAGGGGGCCGACGAATTCCACAAGAAGTGCGGACGCCCTCCTCCTCCTCGTGTTGGTCCCGCTCTTCATTCCCTATCCTCCATCCTCGCGACTTCATCCTGCCTCCTCCTCCTCCTCCTCCTCCTCCTCCTCCTCCTCCTCCTCCTCCTCCTCCTCCTCCTCCTCCTCCTCCTCCTCTCCCATCTCCTCATCCCCGCCCCAAGCCGCCCAATCTTGAACCAAAAACAGTCGCGCTGGGAAAACCGGTCGCTCCTGGTCTTGCCGGTCAAACCGACAGCGGCGCGATTGGTTCTCCCTGCAATCGAGCGGCTTGCAGGTAGCGCGCGAAAGCGCTCGCTGGCCTAAAACCTATAGCGACGAGCATGAAGATCAAGAGCGGCGCGCGCGAAAACCGAGCGATGAGCGTGAAAACGAAGAGCAGACAGCGGAACGCAAAGCTACGAATGCAGCCTCCATGGCGCAATTTCCGATTCAGTCAGCCGCTCGCGCAGGCCCAGCGCGCGCCAGCCGTGCAACGACAAGTGCGCGCATCGCAGAAACGAGCTTTACATATTTACGCTGGCGTGAACACTGTTCGCGCAAGTTGTTTCGCGCAGCTGAGGGCGAAAAGCAGCGAGGCGTTCCAGTGCGCCCTGTTTGTGGCAGGGCCGCGGGCTTCTCGTCGTTTCGGCTTGCGCGCGCGCCGGACCTGCGCGCGCGCGCCGCGCCTGCGACTGTCAGAACGAGGGGGCGTAAAAGCTTACAGTGTTCGCGGTGGCGCGGCTGAGGCGAGGTGTCCACTGCGCGGATGGTCGCCATCGTCGCTCCGCGACCCGCCCGCGACCCGTTTTGGACGGCCGCAGTGGGTGGGGATCCACACATATGGCGCTCCTTGATAGCAGCGGTGGCGGCGGTGGGAACGCTGGCAGCGCAGGCGGCAACGGTGCCAGATGGAACCCGACGGAGCCCTGCGGAAGGGTAGGGCCGAAGGACCTGACCGACCGAAGGAAACCGTAGGTAGTGCACGGACGGATGATGATGGATGAGGTTTTACCCTTTCCTCGATCACCAGTCTTGTGAGTTTCAGTGGCACCAGCCGCTCCTTAGGAACACCTTTTTTTTGCCCCCCCCCCCCCCCCCAGAATTCGGAACACCGCCCTGTAACGCTCCTCACGGGGGTAGGAACCAATTGGATGCAGGTTACCTTGTTGGGCGTCGCGTTATCTCCCCTTCCACTCGTGTTCTTTCGCCGGAGGTCCACCACTGAGGAGTTCGGATGCTCAGGATGGCTTCCGAACTATCCAAGCATGTTGCCGAAGGCGTCGACATCCCAGATGGTACAAGGTACTCTCATGAAGGCCCAAGCTGGCCCCAAGACGGTCCCAGAAGGTTCAAGAGTGCCCACGGAAGGCTTCACGAAAGCTTCCAGGCAAGCCCGAAGAGGGCACACTCGCTGATGTTCTTGAATGTCAAACCATGCTGCCATTCGTAGTTTGTTCGCGCTTCCGTCGGTTCAAGAGAGTGCTAGAACTCTCCAAGATGGTTCCGCGCGGGTCCAAGATGGCATCAGGATAACCCTGGAGATGTTGAAACCGTTTATGTTGTGAGGGGCGAGTTAGTGTTTTGTTACTGCCAGAATAGCTGTACGCGGCAATGGTGTCTGAGGAGCAACAAGCAAAACACACCATCGGCACCGTGGGGTCCAGCTACGGACGAAACCTCTGTTTGGACAAAGCCGTGCTTGCGAGCGCAGCGCAATCGCATGTGGGTTGATGTTGTAAGGGGCGAGTAGTATTTCTGGTCTTCCAGAAAAAACAAACGTGGCGCGGCAACGGTGTCTTCGGCACAAACAACGAGAACATGCGATCGAAATGTTGGTGTCTATCTACTAACGAACATTATTTTGGAACGCAATCTTGTTTGTGAGCGCAACGCAGACGCAGGTGGGTTCATGTCGTAGGCGGCGGGTGATGTTTCGCTTTTGCCAGAAGAGCGGGGGGCGGAAACGGTGTCTTAGGTACCAACAGTCGGTCGGCCTCTCTAACGATTTAGGAACACTGCTATAATGATCCGCGTGGCTTTCAAGAGCTTCGCACATTCAGCCTGCGTCGGATTGCATGCATTGGTTGTTGCGCGTCCACCTTCAGGGCCACCTTTGGGCCGCCGTAAAACGCTGAAGAAATCAATGACACATCTTCGGCGAGGAGTGGCGCGCCATGCGCGACAACATCGTCAGAGGTCCGCTTTCACGCAATACTGCAGCCGCTCCTGTAGGCGCTAAGGGGCAATGGGCTTCCCCCCCGGGCGCTTCTTTCCCGCTTTCTTGTTGCGTGGCTGCGACGCAATGCCTCGCTCGGCAGGGTGTGAGCTCAATCATGGACAGTTGCTGGCTCGCGTGCGCGCGCAGCTTGGTGACAGGTTTCTTGAGCTTTTCCTTCAACGCTGCAACGAAGGACGGATGGGCGCGCAGAAAGTTATCCTGCCTTCGCGCTTCTTGGCGCCCGTCAACGCATTCGTTTCGCTGTCGTTCTTCGCCCTGCCCCGCCCTTTCTTAATATTTGCGACTGCAGCTGCCGTTTCGAATTCTGAGGCTGCGCCCGACATATGTTCGATGAAGCACGTCGTAGGGTCATTGTTAGTAAGGAGGCCTGGGGTAACCGAGTCCACTGGCGAAATCCCAACTTCCCCTTCGCGCTCTGAAAGCTTCCGCTTGAACGAGAAGTCGACGCGCCAGGCGTTTTTCATTTGGCGCCATAATTTGCGCCACGCCTCTAAGCACGTAATATTTGACCAACTCTTCCACGCCAGGCCTGTCGAAAACTGATGCAGACGCAGGCGCGCTCTCTAGCGCGAGCGCGGCGATATTTTCCCCCCCCGCACGTTGCGGCGCCGCTTCAGCGCGGAAGGTTCGCGCCATCCGAGTGAGTTCGGGCGAAGGTTCTCGCGGTGGCGGCATTCTTCTGCGCGGGCATGCCGGGCGCAATCAACGCGGCGCGCGGGGCTGGAACCGCGAACTAAACGCGCGGCAGAGCGAGGGCCCCGCGCGGCCACGGCCAGAGACCCCCCCTCCCCCCCGACCAGACAGGATCACATTTACCACGCTCGGTTTTGCCCATGGGGCCCAATCCACAGGGCCACCCCCACAATTAAGCAGGCGCCGAAGCAGGCAAAACGCACGCAGGCGAGGGCTCAACGCGAATGCGCAGAAGTTGCGCCCCCGCCAGGGCGAACTGATTTGATGCCCCACGGCGCGCGCTGACTGCCGTGTGCACGCGGGCGCTTGGGCTCTCGTGCGCCAGAAGCGTTGGCCCATGCCGTTGCGCGTGCTCGCCTGTGGCTTTCTGCATGTCGTTTGCCACGCCCGCGCGGTGGTTTGCGCGCCGGAGGGCGCGGCGGGCGCCATCGAATGGGCGCGGGAGCGCGCTCGGGCGCTATTCTGCCCCCTCAGGGCGCTGCGGGGTGCCTTGATGAAGAAGGCGCCCGCGGGCGTGAGTGCTTTGGCGCCCGTTCGGAATCCGTGCGCTTGGGACAAGAGCAGCGAGACGGACTGGGCCGTCATGGTCAGCGACATTCGAGGTGGAGCGTGGATGGGGGCGTCTACAGATGTGGTGGAGGCGCCGGCGGCGGCGCCGTTCCGCCATTGCGCGAGAGGGGGGTGAAGTTCTACAGCGGCAAAATGATTTCCTACAACGGCACGCAATCCAATCGAGCGCAAACCAATCGAGCATTGAACCACAACCTGCGAAAAGCGTTGCGAGCATGATCTAGCATGTCCCCCGCAGCGGACGTTGGGAAGCACCGAATTGCCTTCGAAACGCTGATTCCACCGCGACCAAATTTTCGAGACAAACACCATCGCCGTCGTCTCCGTATCAAGGCGCGCGCGCGCCCCCTTATCGTTGCACTCGGCGTGCGCCCATTGGAGCGGCGAGGTTGCCGCGCCCTAGCCAAAGCTCGCGCAGCGCCTGGCCCTGGCGCCAGGCGCGTCAGCTCTGAAAACCAAGCGCGCCCACCCCGTAAACCAAGCGCGTCGCTTCTGAAAACCAAGCGCGCCCGCCCCAAAAACCAGCAGCGGTTCCAGAACGACCGACAACGAACATCAAAAGCGTTTTGTCCGAAACAAGAAGGCCCAATTGTTTTTGTTCCGCTCGCGTTCCCGAAACAAACGCTCTCGGTTTCGGTTCGTCGCTCATGGCTTTTTACGTGTTCTGGGTGGCTCAGGCCCTCCTCCCCTCGTCGCCCCTCTTTTCTTACGATCCTCCTCCTCGTCCTCCGCCTCATCGCCATCATCAATGTCGCCGTTGTCGTCGTGCTCGTCGTCGTCGGATTTGGCGTCGTCGTCGTTGTCGTCGTCGGTATTCTCATTAGCACCCTCGTCCTCGTTTCCGCCCTCCCACCAGTCCGCCGTCTTTCCTGAAAACTAGTGTTCTTTTTTGCGCAGGCTGGTCCTGCGCGCGCGACTCCCCCACTCCTCCTGCTCCTGCGCGGCCGCCCCCCGCCCAGGCGCGGGGCCAAAGGCCGCAGGGCCCAAGGCCAAGGCCGCCGCCTCGAGAAGAGCCGCCGGCGGCCGCAGAAGAGGCGCCCTCCACGGGGGGCGCGGCGCGCCCGCGAGGAGGGGCGGCTGATGGGGAGGGGGAGCGAACGCAGCGGAGAACGAGCGAGGGGGAGGAGGAGCAGGAGCAGGAGGAGGAGGAAGAGGAGGAGGAGGAGGCGGAGGAGGAGGAGGAGGAGGAGGAGGAGGAAGAAGAAGAAGAGGAGGCGCGAGAAGGGGAGGAGGAGACAGACAGACTGACAGACTGACGGACTGACTGACTGACCGATCGCGGGGACCCACAGGGACCCAGGCGGGAGGCCTCGGAGTTCCCCCATGGGGGGGGGGGAATGCGGGCCGAGCGCCACGGAGGATGATGCCCGCGGGGTGAGGCGGACCGCGTCGAGCCACGGCCACCCCTGCGAGGCGCGCGCCCCACGCGCGCCCGCGCCTCGGCGCAGCTACGCACCCGAGGCTGTCGGCTAGGCCTCACCCCGCGCGGCCCGCAGCAGCCTCGCCACCTTGGCTGCCAAGCCTGGCGAGCTGCTGCGCTCCCGCGCGCCACGCCGCGGCCTCGGCCAGCCGCCTCCGCCGCCCGCAGCCCCTGCTTCGCTTCGAGCAGCAGAGTCACCTGCGGGCGGCATCCTCTCCTCCTGCAGAGCGCCACGGAGGAGGAGGAGGAGGAGGAGGAGGAGGAGGAGGAGGATCGATCGATCGAGCCGTGGGGACGAAGTTCGCAACCTCCTCAGAATCGGTAGCTAAAAAAACTGTTTTTAAATCGTCCTAGCTGTACTCTCTGCGCTTGCTGGGTGAGCTGGCACGATGTCGTGCTCGGGCCCAACCCGCACCGAAAGCCCCACGCAGAGGCTGGAGGGCGGGGTAGCACCCGCCCCTCTCGGAAGCCTACCTCGCCTGTTGCCCATGGTTTTTACCCTGGGCTCGCCCCCCTTTACCCCGACCTTTCCTTTTGGGTTCGGGAGGGGGGGGAGGGCGGTGCATCAAATAGTAGTCAGGAAAACCATGGCCTCTGAACCTAAAAACTTCAGGAGCGTTCTGAGGAGGAGGGGTTGGGAGTCTGCCTCTGGCCGCCAGCTCTCGGAATCGTACACTATTTTCGAAAGCTCTGGGCACGGCGCGGGGCGTTCCCTCACTCTGGATTTGGCGTAAGCCTACGGCATGCTCTTCTCTGGCGTCCTCTGCGTGTCGTTCGGCGGTCAGCCGTTGACCAGGCGCCCGAGTTCCCGCTCCAGCGCCCCGCGCGGCGCCGAGCCCACGCGGCGCGTGGCTCCCTCCTTCTTGAGCTGGTTGACTAGCACTGTCGCAATCTGGTGATCGTTCGCGTTGAAAGTGAACTGGAACCTGCACTTGTCTTTCCCGTTGCCATCCTTGCCTTTGTTGCGCCGAACGCGAAATACTGGTACTGAATCTCCGAGCACTTCTGGAGCGGCGTTGAGTACTTTGTCACGGTAGTACTGCTCGACGTGCTGCTTGGAAGCCCCTTCCTCGAGCGTCTTGCCCAGGTAGGCGCAGACCTCCGTCCAGACCTTCAGGTGCGGGCTTCCAAGCTGCGCCGTGTCGACTGCCTCGCCGGCCTTGGCGCGCTGGTTCAGGTCCTGAGCCTCCTCGTTGTAGGCGCGCCCTGCTTCGAGTCCCGATGTAGCGATATTGGCTTCCGTTCCGATCTCCCACGTCTGAAGTACTGCGGAGGCCAGTTCTGCTTGTTCCCGTGCCAGGGTGAGCACGAGCCTCGCCGTCAGGTCGACCATCTGCTGCTGCTGGCCCGCTGCTGGTCCCGCTGGGCCGCGCTGTTGTCCCGCCCCTCCGCGTCCACGGCTGCGGTCTGGGCGAGCTCCCTGTGCGCGTAGCGGCTGTCCGCCATTCGGCCTCTGGTCGAAAAGAGACATCCTTTGCTGGCTGAAGTAGTTGTCGAGGAAGGTGTGTGCAAAGGTGGCGGTAGCAGCTATGCTTATCTAAGGCAAAATGACTACAGATCGGACATTGAGGTTCGTGTGGGGCCGCTTCGTACTGGTTCTTCGTCGTGTCTCGGCTGCAGCCCCCTCGAATCATACTTCGTGCTAGGTGTTTCCAGGCCGTTCCTTTGCTGGTGAATACCTGCCCACAATTGATGCACTCGTTGTTGCTGGTAAGAATTGCCGCTAAGTTATGAACATGGTGTGCTCGTATGATATGGCTGTGTAACGCTTTCTTGCTTGCAAATAACATTCCACATACGTCTCGTTCGTCAAGAAGTTCGCATTTCCAAATATTTTTCTCGTCTAAGGCTATGTTCTCTCGTTGTTCGTCGTCGTGATCTTGCTGTACTGGGGGTACCGCTACTGCTAGTTTGGCTGCTCGTATATCCTTGGGGTCCAGGCTCCAAAGTTGTTCTCGGATATCTAGCGTGAAGAGCTTGCCTATCGTTATGTCCTCGCTCCGCCCTAAGATGTCCTGGAAATTCTCTGAGACCTCGCAGGCATACTTAATGTCCTCCAGAAACCTCTGAGCCCATGGATTCGTGTCGCTCTGGATCGCGTCGGTGGTCGTTTCGGTGTTCGTCTCGTAGTCGACTCGGCCGAAGAGCGCAACGATCAGCTGTTTGTTGTTAGCAGGGAAGCGCAGAATAGTTTTTAGCCAGCTGACTCGTCGTATCAGTGCCTCTTCTGCCGGCGGCAATATTTGCCAATGGCGGAAGACCTCCAAGGTGCTCATGCTCCGCACGGTGCCGTCCTCGCGGTACGTCGTGGCTCTGCCTCGCATGGCCTTGCGTAGTAGTGCTCCCATCGCACTCTGGAGTTGTCTGTACTCTGTCGTGGTCGGGAGGAAGCACTCGATGCACGAGAGGCCTGTGTTGATCACTCGGCAAAGTAGTACTGCTCGCTTCCAACGGTATGGGATGTTGGCCTTGCTCCAGAACGCTCCGCACTCGTAATAGCTCTTCTTCATGGCTGCGATGCGCTTGATGAGTTCCGCTCCGTAGTTCTGGTGAGGGCTGACTTGCGGTCCGAGATAACGGGCGTGTGGAAGTACTTTACCTGGCATCTTGGCGCCTGTGTTGTTCTTGATGTCACGGTGCGCCTTCTTCGAGCCGTGGCCCTGGAAGTTGATGATGGTCTCCTGCTTGTCCTGGTTCTGCCGCATCCCGATCTCTGTGAGCCTGGTGTTCAGCATGTTGTCCACCTGGTGGGCCTGATTCACGATGTCGTGCGCGTCTGCCCGCTGAGTAATGATAAGCTTGCGTAAGTCATCTGCGTACTTCGTGAGGCCGAGGTATACTGGATACTGGAAACGCTCGCTGTTCCCATACAGAAGATGATCATGTGGGAGTTGAGCCTTGCAATCTCGTACCCATTGTTGTACACTAGGCGCAAAGCTGGCGACGAAGTTCTGCACCATGTAGGGGTCGCCGATTAAGCCTCCGCAGTGCGGTTTGATACCGACTCCGTGTTGTTCGTCTCGGCATGGTATGTTGAACGTCGCTCTCTGATATCTTTGTTTGCCTATCTCTTCCATGTCGTCTGGCATGATCTTGCGGTTGACTTCATCCATCTCGTGCCACGAGCAGCTCGCGAAAGCGTTGGACATGTCCTTCATCGAGGAAGCGAAGTTCCAGCCTGCTTGTCTGGCTCGATATTCCACAATAGCCATCGTGAGAATTGCTCCTTCTCGTCTTCGTCCTCTGATAAATCCGTAGTCCTGATCCGTATGCGTTCTAGTTTTTTTTCTCTTCAGGCAGCCCGAGTAGTACGCCTTGTCGATGGGGTCCATGATGTGGTAGATTCTCTTGCCCGCGGGGCCAGGCTTTTGGTTCTTCTCAACGGCGGTGGCTGCGCTCTGGTGCCATCGGACTGGAGTTGCGTTGCCAATTCTGATCGCCGCCAGTGATGCTCGAAATAGTTCCGTGAACAAGTCGGGTTGTCGATCTGCACGTGGTGCCCCGAGTCCTTGGCGTTCTTGCCGTTCTGGGTTGGGTGGGCAAAGAATGAGTCGCCACAGTTCCGACGGTGCCGAAGTAGGGGGTGCCGCTCGGCGTAGCTTCGCTTTCTTGATGCTCTTGGTGGTGTACTCGAAATCCTCGTCGACCTTCTCCTCTAAGTCGTTCTCGTAGTAGTCCTGCTGCTCGGTGGGGCTAGGGATCTGGTCGAGCGTGTGGATGTCCTGTTCCGTGCCCTCCATGCCTCCCATGCCGCCGGGTAGCTTCCAGACGTCGAGCCACTCCTGCTTGCTCGGGTTCGCGGTCACGCTGGTCCAGTAGTCACGTTTTCTTGGGCCGTATCGTCCCCCTGCGATCAGTCTGGATAATCGGCCTACTCGTGCAAGGTCTCGTTGCTTCCACGCCTCGTACAGCTCCTCGACCCTCGCGTCCGTCCTGACCTGGTGCTCCTGCTTGCGGAGTCTGGCGCAATGGTTCGTGATGTGTCGTAACTCCACTTCCAGTGCATGTAGTTATTGTTCGTATTCTGCATGTTGGCGTTCCGCTGTGTCGTCGTATGGGTTGTCAGGTTGTAGGGCTTGAAGAAGTTCGTGCGGGGTGTCGTAGTTAATCTCGGAGTCGACGATGCGTAAAATATTCCCGCGGTCCCGTAGTGCTTGTCGTAAATCTCGGCGTCGTCGTAGTAGCGCCAGTCGTCGGTCTCGGAGTGCGGCGTATTCTGGATCTTCTCTGCGTTGTGTCTGTCCGTAGTATGGCTTGGCCGCGTCGATGATCATTCGGTTGATGTCTTGGAATAGCTGGTCGATGTCTTTGCCCTCTGCGTCGTAGTTTGCGACCTTAGTCTCCAGATCTTTGATGAACTCGTCTCGATTGTGTCCTTTGTGTACTGCCTGTACCAGTAGACCCTTGTCCCAGCGAGTCTGCGGCGTAGTCTGGCGTACTCGGTGTCGTAGCGGTATGCGTAGTGTAGTTTGAACTGGAACGTGGTCCCGATGAAATCGACTCGGTATGTGCTGGAGTCGTGTGCCCATCCGAAGGAGGGGGCCTTGGCTGATCATGCTGCCGATAAGGTCCTGGGGCGCCATGATGTAGTCGATGCAGCTGGCGTGCTTCTCTCCGAA